TGGCTAGGGTCTCCCGGGGGCTCAGGACTAATGGTGTGTGTGGTGGTGGTGGTGGCTAGGGTCTCCCGGGGGCTCAGGACTGATGGTGTGTGGTGGTGGTGGTGGCTAGAGTCTCCCGGGGGCTCAGGACTGATGGTGTGTGGTGGTGGTGGTGGTGGCTAGGGTCTCCCGGGGCTCAGGACTGATGGTGTGTGGTGGTGGTGGTGGTGGCTAGGGTCTCCCGGGGCTCAGGACTGATGGTGTGTGTGGTGGTGGTGGTGGCTAGGGTCTCCGGGGGCTCAGGACTGATGGTGTGTGTGGTGGTGGTGGCTAGGGTCTCCGGGGGCTCAGGACTGATGGTGTGTGGTGGTGGTGGTGGTGGCTAGGGTCTCCCGGGGGGCTCAGGACTGATGGTGTGTGGTGGTGGTGGTGGTGGCTAGGGTCTCCCGGGGGCTCAGGACTGATGGTGTGTGTGGTGGTGGTGGTGGCTAGGGTCTCCCGGGGGCTCAGGACTGATGGTGTGTGGTGTGTGGTGGTGGTGCTAGGGTCTCCGGGGCTCAGGACTGATGGTATGTGTGGTGGGTGGTGCTAGGGTCTCCCGGGGGCTCAGGACTGATGGTGTGTGGTGGTGGTGGTGGTGGCTAGGGTCTCCCGGGGGCTCAGGACTGATGGTATGTGTGGTGGTGGTGGTGGTGGCTAGGGTCTCCGGGGGCTCAGGACTGATGGTGTGTGTGGTGGTGTGGTGTGGCTAGGGTCTCCCGGGGGCTCAGGACTGATGTGTGTGTGGTGGTGGTGGTGGTGGTGGCTAGGGTCTCCCGGGGGCTCAGGACTGATGGTGTGTGTGGTGGTGGTGGTGGCTAGGTCTCCCGGGGCTCAGGACTGATGGTGTGTGGTGGTGGTGGTGGCTAGGGTCTCCCGGGGGCTCAGGACTGATGGTGTGTGTGGTGGTGTGGTGGCTAGGGTCTCCCGGGGCTCAGGACTGATGGTGTGTGTGGTGGTGGTGGTGGCTAGGGTCTCCCGGGGCTCAGGACTGATGGTGGTGTGTGGTGGTGGTGGTGGCTAGGGTCTCCCGGGGGCTCAGGACTGATGGTGTGTGTGGTGGTGGTGGTGGTGGCTAGGGTCTCCGGGGCTCAGGACTGATGGTGTGTGTGGTGGTGGTGGTGGTGGCTAGGGTCTCCCGGGGGCTCAGGACTGATGGTGTGTGTGGTGGGGTGGTGGTGGCTAGGGTCTCCCGGGGGCTCAGGACTGATGGTGTGGTGGTGGTGCAGGGTCTCCCGGGGCTCAGGACTGCTAGGGTCTCCCGGGGGCTCAGGACTGATGGTGTGTAGGTTATGCAAGGGTCTCCCGGGGCACTGATGGTGTATTATTATTTTTTTTTACTATTCATATCATCATTATTATTACTTTCATTATCATTGTCATCATCATTTTTTTCTTTTTGTTATTATCGTTGTCACTATCATTAATATTATTTCTATTACTATTATCATTATTATTATTGTCATTACACACACACATACACACACACACACTCAAACTCTCCCTTTAACAATCCCCCCCCCTCTCTCTTCTCTCTCTCTTCTCTCTCTCTCTCTCTCTCTCCTCTCTCTCTCTCTCTCTCTCTCTCTCTCTCTCTCTCTCTCTCTCTCTCTCTCTCTCTCTCTCTCTCTCTCGATTAAGAACAGAGGACACACAAGGATGCTGCCTGTAACACAAAGTTATAAAAATTGTGATAACCATAAACGACGTAACACAATGATAATGACAATAATCCTAGTAACAATATCGATTATGATGATACTATAGATGATGACAGTTATTTCTCTGGAAAAAGATTAATCTATGATTAGCATGACGATTGCGAAGATTAATTACTTGATCAAGATAATAGCAAATAATGTTAAATCAAAGAAATTTGTCGACAAAATTCATCCTCCATATTCGTTTCAGAAAATTCTCGAATAGTAAAAAACTATACAAGGGATTACTACAAAATAGATTATTCTTTATGGGGAGGGGGCTGCTGTAGGGTAAAGATAACGGCATCCTCCCCCTACCTTCTCTGGACCGAGATTCCCGGATGTAAACGACAAAGCAATGGTTTCCCGCCGGCTTAGGTCAGTGGCCGAGGCAGAGGCGTCTGTACACAACGGCGACCGAACTGGTTTTGCTGTCCCGGAGAGCGATCTGACCCCCCTACGTCTGACCCAGCTTGGAGCCCGGGCGGGGGCAGGGCAGGGGTGTCGGGTGTGTGGTGGTGAGTCGCTTGACCCGGGTGACCTCCCGCCAATGCTTAGCGTTAGCGCTATTTGTGAACAAACACGTGGTATTCTCCGGTCGAGTTTTTGGCTGCTATTATTATTATTGTAATTATTATCATTGCTATTTTCATAATATGCTATTATCATTACCATTACTTTATTATCATTATCATTATTATTTTTTATAACTATTTCATTGTTATTATCATTATCATTATTGCATTTATAACTATTATCATTGTTATTATCATTATTATCAC